CCTCCATCCCACCCCCCTCCCCCTCCCCCCCCTCGCTCATTTACTCGGCGCTCTCCCCTCGCTCTGCTTCGCCCAGCAACTCCCCGCCCACCCCGCTCGCCGGTTTTCCGTCGAATTCGAATGATTTCTGGATCCGCCGTTGCCATGGGCACCTCTGCCACTCAAATCCCCCCCCCCCTCCCGAAATTCGTTTCTCGCTACGTCCCTGTTCGCAGTTATCCCATATTATGATTATAGTTTTCTGGAAACCTGGCGAACGTGGGTGTGCACGTTCCACACCGCTGGAAGGGCGATCGCTTCGCGTGGGAAGACGAGATTCCATGGCGCACACATGATTTACTTGCTGGACTCATCGTGATACGAGTAGAGAGATGGAGTCGAAGAAAAAAGTGTGTATCGCCCGAGGGAGAAGGAATACGGAAGTCGCTTTCATGATGACAGACCCTGCTTCTAGTGCGATCGAGATTCCCGACCCAGGGCACTGGGTCTATTGCCCGTTGTTTTCCCTTTCCCTGCCCGCCTCTCGTGTTACGCGTAAGCGTGGGGGACTTGAGTCCTCAAGATCCATATCAGCGGTCTTGGTAGGCCAGACGATCGATATGGTACATGCATGCATTTCCACGCATGGTCATTTCGCATGGCGTATGACTGGTATAGCTACGCACGTTTCACTTAGACATCTGCGTACTGTGTTCCTGTGCTGCTCTCTCTCTCCTCTGCTCTCTCTCTCCTCTCATCTCTCTCTTCTCATCGCTAGAATATAGGTTTTCTTAGGCTAAAAATCATTTTAGTCATTCTCTCCTTTTGATAACATAAAAGTTTGCCGTTGCAGGTGCCTACTTAAAAATGAACTCTTGAGAGTTCGTCCTAGTTTTCTTTATTCTAGTTCTTATTTAATACAGGTTCCCAAGTTTGAAGGAATCATCGACGATGAACCGTCATCGTCTTCTGTCGACACTCCTGGCATTCGCAGTCGTCGGCCTCGGCGAGGGAGCATCGAAGCGGGATTCCCCTCTTCCCGTGGAAGGTGAGCGATGGAATCCCGGAAACGTGGACTCGAATCCAACCGTTGAACTCGGCGATCGTGTCGATAGACAAGGACTACTGGATGAAGGAGATGGCCGAGGACATCCGGCGGACCCAGGCGAGGCAGCCGAACGTGAAGAGGGCCAAGAACGTCCTTCTCTTCCTCGGAGACGGGATGGGACTTCCGGCCATCGTCGCCACGAGGATCTACAAGGGACAGCTTCAGGGTCGACCCGGCGAGGAAACCGTTCTTCGATTCGAAGAATTCCCTTCGACTGGGCTCGTCAAGGTCTGCCTTTCGTCAAACATACCCCTTTTCCTAAACTCGATCTCACGAATATAGCGGGCGGGGGGAAGGGGGTTGTCCAGGGTTAGGCGACTACGTAAAATCCATTTGTATGGGTCGTATAATTGCTGCGTCAGAGCCAGATCATAGCTTGTAAATAGTCTGGTGAAACGACTTTACATCCAAACCCATACTGGAATTCCGTTAGGGACAGTTCCCGCCACCTGTTAGCGCTCTTGCAGCCTACTGGGGAAGAGAGAGGAGGGGACATGAAGGGTGGGGGGGGGGGGGGGGGGGGGGGAGGAACCCCCCCTGGGGGG